CCCCGTCGGAGGCCAGTCACACCTGCTGCCAAGCGCCACCGCTGCCCGTTCCCGGGCTGCAACAAAGCCTATTACAAGTCGTCACATCTGAAGTCCCACCAGCGCACCCACACGGGGGAGCGCCCCTTCTCCTGCGACTGGCTCGACTGCGACAAGAAGTTCACGCGCTCCGACGAGCTTGCCCGCCACTACCGGACACACACGGGCGAGAAGCGCTTCTCCTGCCCGCTCTGCCCCAAGCAGTTCTCCCGGAGCGACCACTTGACCAAGCACGCCCGCCGCCACCCGGCCTATCATCCCGACATGATCGAGTACCGGGGGCGCCGTCGCACACCCCGCGTCCACGCGCAACCTGCCAGCCTGGTGGACAGCTCCGGCTCCGGCTCCGACCAGGCGTCCAGCCTTACCGCCAGCCTGTCTGACAGTCACTGCTGCTAGTCGTCCCCCGCCAGGACGACCCCCCAGCCATACTACCCCTGCCTTCTTTCTGCCCAACCTTCTTCCCCCGGTGTCGTGCTACCAAGGCACAGACTGGTTCCTCCGCTCTGAGGGTGGGTCCAGACTGGCATGCTGGACCCTGGGGAGGGACTGGGGGCCTGAAAAGAGCAGGAATTCCTACACCACGTAGATCATCCTGAAAGGGGGAGGGTTGCCTCCAGGCAACCCTGGGAACTGATGAGAAGGGATGAACCCCCGTACTCTCCGGAGTCCTGAAGATTCTCCCTTCCCTGGAAGCAGAGATGTGAAACTGGAATTCTCAGGTGCCTGAGGAGCTCCCGGTCTTGAAGGACTCTGGTGTCTTACCCACCCGCCAGGGCGGACCTTGAAGCGTGTATCAGGGGTGGCAGTCTTGGCAGTGTCCAGGACTGGGATGGTGAGAGGCCTTTGGAAACAGAAATGATTTCTATTTCTGTAAACAGCAATGTTTACTAATTTATTTTTAGTATCTTTTACACAGGGATCCCAGGTTGATGGGAGGTTGAAGTCCTCCACTCCCCAGTTGCCCCAGCGACCTCTGCTAGGAGAGGCCAGGCTAGAGTCCATGTGGATGTGTGGCTGGGGGATGCTTCTTGGTGTCTGGGGAATGGCGTGCGCCCGCTTTGCAGGTCCTGTTGCTTGGTTTAGAACCCTGCACTTTCGTGGTAGCCTTTCTTCCCATTTGGATTCCTCGGTGGGGAGGGTAACTTCTTGGCTCACGCTCATGTGAGATTGGTTTAAAATTTGGGGAAGCGACCAGAAAAGCACCAGAAATCAAGGGGTGGTCCAGGCTAGTGCCCCCTTCTCCCAGAGGGTGAACCCAAATGACTTTGGGTGAGATAGATCCACAACAACATTCAGGGAAATAGGGCATGTGGTTCTGGCTGCCCACTCCAAGTAATCTCAGGTGTTGTGGTAGATTCCGTTCATTTCTTAATGGCTAACTAGGGGGTTCTTTCTTTTGGGATCTGTACATGTTTGTTTCAGCAACAGGTGAGTTGGTAGTTTGAGGAGGGGAAGGTGAGAGTGGCTTCTTCCAAAGAGCTGGCTGCCCTGGATTTGGGGAAGGAAAAGCCAGGTGAAAGCTATTATCAAATAAAAGGACCCTTTCCCCCCGCCCCCCGACCCTTGGAATCCCTCCAAGTTACACCCTCAGGACCCCTCTTTCCTAGTGCAGACGTGAGCATCAACAGTATTTATTTTTTCTATGTGTATCTCTGCTGCTATGATGAAATTGTCTGCCACTTTGCTTCTGTGTGTGTGTGAATGTGTATACGTGTGACCCTTTCGTTAGAGATGGGGCTGGAAGGCATTTCCTGCTCTGGTAAGGTTCTCCTCGGCCCCCTCCTGAAAGTCTTGTAATAGTCTGTCGGTCACGCTTGTGGAGGATGCCATAATCTCAAAGAGCTATAACAGGCATCTAGTTAAACTGCTTTCCGCTGTTTTGCAGATGAAGACACTGAAACCTAGATAAGCTAAAAGTCACATGCTAAATTGCTGGCAAAAGCCATGGCTAGACGTTAGGTACCTGCTTTCTAAGTGATTCCCTCACGCTTGGTTATCCTACCTGCTTTCTCTCTGGGCCCTTAGTCAAAGGACCCCTCTCTCCTTTCCTGCCACCAGATCCCCACCCTCCCTATTCTCTCTCACTTCTGTGTTCCTTCAAATGTCTGGTCCCTGCTGAATCCTTTGCTTGTTGTGTTTAACCTGAAAGCCCTTTTCTTAGCAGGTTGAGTTCATTTCCTCCTTCCACATCATGTGGACTTAAAGTGGGAATGACTCTGGCATCTTGGGAGATATTTTGTCTGTTGACTTGGCAGGTTAATTTTCAAATGCCAATTCTATTCTCTTTCTGGTTCTGGGTGTTCCCGCTCCCTTGAGAGAGTGAGTGATATGAACCTGACATGGGGACTCTACTAAGTGCTCCTGTACTAAATGAGGGAAAAGTCCTTAAGAAGGACCCAAAGGCTGTGGCCTGTGACTCTGAAGATGTTTATTGTTTCCTGATGTGGACTAAGCAGGAAAGGTGGCTCTCTCCTTGGGTTACGAATGGGAAAAGGAGGCTCCCAATTGCGGAGGTGGGTTTTGGTGGTGGGAAGAGTCCTCGCTTTGCTCTGTTTGTCTCCTCAGCTGGAACTGGATAGGAAGGGCACTCCAGGCCCCCTTGAGGACTATGATGTTCCCTTTCAGTAGAAGATCTGCCGTTGGGTAGGTGGACCGATGAAGCTAACAGGAGAGACTCCCGCTGACTGTTCTGGAATCTGGCTCAAAAAGTTTGGCTTTTCCAACTACCCTTTGATAAATAACTTTTCATTCTCAAGCTCCCAAGTAGTGTCCTTTTTTGGGGGTTTCTATCTTGGGGGCTTTTGTCTGGGGATGGCTTCTCACAATCTAAACGCGGCATGTCTGTCTTTGGTCATATCATCCTGAACGCACCCAATCTCGTCTAAATGTGGCATGTCTTTCAAAGACTTCTCCTAGGACTTGCAGTGGTGGAGAAGAAAATACCCAGAACACTACAGTAGCCACATAATGGAGGCAAGATTCATAGGCTGGTCTTTCTTAGTTTGGGGTATTGCTGTAACCCTTTTCACTCCAGTGGCCAAACAGTTCTTGAGGAGCAGTTATTAGTGAAATGACCTGGAATGGGCTTCCTAGTTTTAGTGGTGTTTCTATTGCTTCTTTTTGTTAATCAGATGGAGTTTAGCGAGTGAATGTATCTGGGGATTGGTTGGGGTCAGCCTGAACCTCTGGGCCCTTATTCTACCTCTGCCATCCTGAGTTCTAATGTAGGGATGGCCTAGTAGCAGAATGTATTAATAACACTCTTCCTGATATCTAGGTTGGGAACTGGGAATGAATTCCAGGTCATACCGAGGGTGTGAAAGAATTGGATCCCCTATCGTTGTTGGGAGCGGGTGAAAGGTACAGGCCTTCTCCCACCCATGGAAACAAGAATCTGTCATTTGCCCCCATTTCCCTTTTTTTCTCCAAGTAGGGAACCATATTGGAATATCACTCATGGCCTCTGTCTCTGCCTCTTATTCACTTCTCCCAAAGGAATATTCTGTTCTCTGGCGGAGACATAGGAAAGAGAGTCATTGTACACACACACACACACACACACACACACACACACACACTCTTGGCTCTTCTCTCTTTTGCACCCTTTTGCCTGTAATGTGTATGCATTCCACTCAGATCCAGCTTTTATATGCACCTGCTGAGGCCCAGGCCTACCTTCCAGAGGCAGGTGTGAAGAGCATCTCTCTCTGTCTCCACTTTTGGAGCAGCCACACCCCTTTGCAGCTCTCCAGGTAGGTGTTTCCTTCCTTTATTCTCCTTGGGGTGGGTAATCCCAATACCAGGAATGGGGAAGGGTGGGAGAGGCATTGGTGGGATGGTACTAGAAATCCCAATTTTGTTTATAGATACAGATTCATCCACAAAATACTGATATGTTAATACTTGTTTGTCTGATTCCTCTATTTATTATTCAGTTGGTTGAGAACCTAGAGGGGGGATGGAATATGGTTAACTTTCTCTCATAAGCCCCAACACATGCAAATATGCATTGGCTGTTAATTCCTGAGGAAATAGGCACTCTGGCTGGAATTAGGAGACCAAGATGAGATGGATGAGGATGGGATATACTAGATGTCCCAGCTTTAGTGATCTTGAGCCTTTTAGTTCTTTGGCCTTTCCAAGTTATAGCAGCTTACAGTAGCTAGTGTACACAGACAAGTCACTATTGGTAGAGGTACTGGACATAGGACTTTGCAAAAGTAGGCTACATAGGCTACTCTGGCTGATCTTGGTTCATATGATTTAGTTGAGACAGGTTTGCTACAGAAGGGAAAGGTGCTACTGAATGGAAAAATTTGTGCTGCCTTTATTCTCAGGCAGAATTATAGATAAGGACTTTTAAGGTGCAATGGCACAAGTTTCACGTGTACTTCGCAAGTTTGTGAGACTCTAGCCCTTCTACTGTGCTGGGGATGAGCAGGTGGCATTAGATCAGTCATACCCAACTGGTTCCCTTTTGTCTTCATTTGAATTGCTTCCTGTTATAAGGCCAATGAGAGACCTATGGGAGGGGTTAAATTCCTTAATTCACATGGGTTATCAGAGTCACCTTCTATTTATACTGAGTGGCCAGATTATTCTGACCACCCCATCAGTATAATGAAGTGAATTAGTTATGCAAATAATAATAATAATAAAACCTTGAGAGTATTTGCTTAGGAAGTTTTCAATAGTCAGTATTTTTGGAAAGGTCAATGAAGTACTGATGGGGTGGTCAGAATAATCTGGCCGCTCAGTGTATATGCCAAATTGGTGCCAGATGTGTTGACTATATAAGACTCCCAGTGGAATTTCAGGGACTCAGGCTGTGTGTTTAATTTCAGAGGAGTGGTAGATTTTAATCCCAACTAGAAAATGAGGGATGCAAATATTTGCTATATTGGAGTTTGAGGTAGAGAGAAGCAACACTATTAAAATCCCCAAAGCTAAGAAGAGTATTTAAAAGGGTTGTGTCTGGATTCTTCTTTCCCTACGAATCAGGTCTATTCAGGAAATCAAGTAGCAGCCATATTTGTTCCAAATATACATTTAGATTTTGAAGTCAAAATGGAAGCAGTGGGAAGGTGAAAAATGAATAAAGGAAGACAGGCTGATTAAGCTGAAGAAAGAGAAGGATTTCTTTAGAAGAACGGTTGTGTTCTTAAATGACAGAATTGATCATACAAATGGGAAAATAAGAAAGACCAGGAGCCAACCAATCTTAAAGATGAGCTTATAATAGAGAGTGGTGGTTTAGTCATTACGAAGTTAGAGGAGGTGATTGAAACCCAAAGAGATATAACAGGAGAATGGGAGCAAACTCTCATATAGAAAACAAATGCCCACCTTCACCAGGGACCTCAGATCCAAGGAAATATAGAGAGGTACCTACCCGAATCTGCATAGAACACAGCGGAAAATCATCCCTTTATCGTTGAGCTAGGTAAACTAGAAGGTTACAGAAAATGTAGATGCACTTGCAACATTTTAGCTTAGTCTCAGTGATATAACCATTGTAAATGGGAATATCAATATGGCTTGGAGAATGTACAGTTAGGTCGCTACAGGAAAGCACAGGTAGATGAGACATGTAAAATATATCAGAGTAATTAATCAAATTAATAGAAATGAGGAAGAAAGCATGGTCAACTCAACTGGTTCCAAAATATGTACAGATGCTCCTCTACTTAGGATGGGGTTACATCCCAATAAACCCATTATAACTTGAAAATATTGTCAGTCAAACATGCATTAATACACCCAAACTACCAAACATCATAGCTTAGCCCAGCCTAACTTAAATTTTCTAGGGACAGTTAAATTAGCCTACAGTTGGGCAAAATCATCTAACACAAAGCCTATTTTATAATAAAGTGTTGAATATCTGATATAATTTATGTATTTAGGGCTTGCCATCTT